CAGCAGCTCGGTGGGTGTCCCTGCCCCGAGATGGGCGATGCCTTGCAGAGCCCCGTACGGCAGCGGGGCGGCAAGGAGGAAAACACCAGTACGCAGCAGGGGTAAAAGCCAGAGTACTGCAAATCCCCCTTCAGAGGGGGATGGCGTAGAAGGAATCTTACTAACTCGAAAACAGAAATAAAATGCCTTTCGCTGGGAGCGTTAACATGGCAATTCCTCTCTGCAATGACTTTCCCTGCTTATTTTTAGGACTAGAGCTTATTTAAGGAAATCTCATGGGAAAGGCTTAGCTCAGCTGCCCCTTCTATTCCCAAGGAGCTGCAGTTGCTCCCCCATTTTCAGCAGCAAAGTCACCCTCTTCCCAGCTGGAACAAAGGGCTGACATTTACCTTCCTCGTTTTCTTCTCGCAGCACAACCAGCAGCAGCCTGGGCTCTCTTCTCTTCCTTCAAGATGAGGGTTTTCAAAGCAGTGTCTCCACCATGTCTCACACAGCCCCGTAGAGCGGGTGGGGGACCTTCCCTGCCTGCTGGCGGGAGGAGAAGCGGAGAAGTGACAGAGAGGAGACGCTGCAGCTGAACGCGGCCGAGGGGAGGAGAGGGGTGATGAGAATGTGAATCTTCTGCCAAAAAGAAATGAGAGCCAGAAACATTGTGTGGAGAGAGAGGGCAGGGTTAGATGGGAAGGAACAGCACCTCCCATGCCTGACAGTGTTTATGCCTTGGCAGGTGATTGATCATGGCTCAATCTCTCTCCTCTGTCCCCACGCTTTCCCTGCTCTTATCTACCAGTAACTAGGACACCTACCGAAGCATCAGCTGCTCCGGCAGATGAAACCTAAAAGGGAAATTTGCTGCCTGGGTGCTGGTCTATGAGGGCCAGTGGATGGTTTTCACCTTGGATTTCCAGGCAGACCTCTCAACTGCTCCATCACAGCATCTTCAAAATAACCAAGTCCCCAGTACGGTCAGGCATGGGCAGGCTGGGCCAGGCACGTGGCTGCCCTCCGCATCCCACGATGGGTCTGAGGGACCACAGGGGTCCCCTGCAAAGCTCTGGCATTGAAGAGCTCACAGACCTGATGGAATAGATGTACAGCTAGCATCTTGTACAACGTGTTGTACGTGGGTGGTTACAGACCCCAGAGAGCCTTACAGATCTAAGGCAACCCACAAGACATGCGTGTTAACACCCAAAATTGGTACCTCCTTGAACGTCAACACGCCCACGAGCACCTCGGGGACCGCAGCCGGGCTCCTGGTCCATGACATGGTGATGACAGGGGTGCAACAGCACGTTTCCCGGGCAGAGCTGTGCTGCCCCAGCTCTGCCCAGTCCCGCTGCAGCCTTGGCCACAGCTTGGGAGAAGCTGAGCTGAGGACATGGTGCAGAGCCCCGGGAAGCCATCCAGCGACTGCTCTGCGGGGGTCTGCGTGCAGCGCAGAAGAGGGTGACTGCCAGCATGAGGTTTAATGAAGGACCATCTCTGCTCCCACGCCCAAAGAGAAGGGAAACATCTGCAGCCCCTGCCTTTGCTCCAGGCTTGCCCACCGAGATGCACGCCAGGTCACAGCACTGGGGTGACAGGCCTCATCTAGGACTTGTCTCACTGCTGCTGATGCTAACAGGACAGCTTTCCTCTCAAAGGGGTCCCCCAGCCCCCTCGAGGACTCGGCCAGGAGTGCCAGGCAGGGTCCTGAATGGGATGTCCACTCCCTGGTGGCCCTCCTGTCCCCCGTGGGATTGCTAGCACCAGCTTCTATGTAGTAATTCAAACCCCGGGATGCTCAGACTTGCTCACTAACGAGCATGAGATGATTCCTGGCTCCTGCCCTCCAGGGCATTGCAGTCCCTCACGATGTTCTGCTAGCGCTCAGATGCCCACATCATGACACATCCCATCCCAGGCCCACCTCTTGTATCTCCAGAGCATCTTTCTCCAGGAGGGTCTGGGTTATCCGCAGGCTCCCTTTTAAACTAGACACCTCCTGCTCATTTGGGACCTGGCTCTGCCACTGCCTGCTGCCCAAGGGATCTCTGCATCTCCTTACCCAGCAGGCACCGGTTGCCACCAGCCGACTTGCTTCCTTCCCCGCAGCAGCAGCAGCATTTTGAGGGGCCACAGCCTGGCTTGCAGCTGCCTCCAAAACATGCAGCCATTGCACGGGAACCACCTTTGCAGGCTGTTGCACCTTTGTGGAGGCTGCCGAGTTCCTGTTTTCTCTGTGCATCTCCTCGCTGTCCGTCTTTGTCACCAAGTATAAACTGGTGTTGCTGTGCTGCACCAGATGTCCACCCCAAACACTGCCACAATCAGCAAACTCCATCTGCTTCGAAGAAGGAAGGAGGAGGTCACAGACTTTGAATTCACTGCCTGTTGAGTAAAACATCAGAAGAGGCTGGAGAGGAAGCAGGGAGCGTTTTGTAGCCATTTGCCACTGATCACTTGCTGCCCTGATATTTGTGAATGCTCTGGAAATTTGCTACAAGTAAAGTGAAGCCCCATGTTGGCAGAGAACTTGGGATGGAGCACCTCCCTTCCTGCAGCAGGCAACGTAAGCTAGGTGAGAAAAAGAAAGCAGCAGGGCCAAGATCTGCCCATAAAAAATGTTTATTCCTTAAAAATACAACGTTCACCTGCAGTGACACAACTATTCAGAACATTTCTTTAGAAGGGTTTTCATCTGCTCCCAGTGTAGCAAGCCTTCGGTATCAGGAGGAAGGAGAGCAGACAGCCCCACCTGCGGGCAGCCCGGTCCCGACAGAAAGGTTCCTTCCACCCATTCCCGCTGCCTGCACCCAAGTGAGCTGTGCGCAGGGCCCTCGCCAGCATCTCCAGCTCCAGAGCTCTCTCTGGAGATAGAGGGGATTTGGTACCTGCAGCAGCATCTCACTGTCATCCTCACTGTCCAGGGAGCCCGTCGGCAGAATGCATTTCTCCTGGTGGCAAAGAGCACACAAGGTTTCAGGGAAACCTCAGTCCCTCTGGAACGGCCTTGGTAAAGAAAGCCTGCGGTAGGGGGAGAAGCAGGACCCAGGACTCATCATCTGGCCCTTACTTGCTTTTACAGCACAGAGCCATCGCTCTGTAGGTCCCAGCTCCACGCCCTCCCACCGCCCCACAGAACAGCCTGCCCTGGTCCACCGTGAAACTGCAGAAGACGGTCTCAGCCACGCCTCAGAGGAGCTCCCCCCAGCCACACCAGCTCCCACAGGATGGGTCTCTCACTGGCCGAGATGGCCTGTCCAAATCACAACTCCCACCCCGCACCCTGCAGCCAACTCTCTGGAGGACTGGAGCCTAAACACGTCTTTCTGCTGCATTAGCTTCCACGTTTTAGGTTAAATCCAGTCACCGTGCCCCGCTCATCCAGCTGATCTCCTCTGGATGCAGAGTCAAGAACGTGCCTTTCCTGACTCCTGGGTGCTCTGACCGTGTCTGCCCTCCGGGCTCTAAACCGGTCCAGCTTCCTAAAGTTTCTTCCCTGATTTTCCTAAGGAGAGGTCTCTGCTGAACACAGACTACCCTGTCCTCTCTCCACCTGGCTGAACGTGGTGACTGAAGGGATAGGGGGGAATGGTGACAAGTTCCTGCCCGGTGCAGCAGGCTTGTCTCCTCCGTGACCACCCCACCTTCCCAGATGCCCTTGCATAACGGGTATGAGGTTCTGCAAGTGGAACCGAACAATGACGAGGACGATGGTTAATCTAGCTTAGAGGACTCACCAAGGTTAAGTCGGCCTATGCCCTGCGTCAAAACCGTTTCCATAAAGACGGGTCATTGTCATAGGAGACTCTCCTGAAGGGAAGAGAAGGCCCAATAGACCGGACCCACTTCTTGGGGAAGTCTGCTGCCTCCCTGGGGCCCGGGTTAAAGATGTGAAGAAAAAACTTCCTACTCTGGTACAGCCCTCAGATTATTGTCCATTATGGATTTTTCAGGTAGGCAGCGACAAAGTTGCAATAAGAAGTCCAAGGGCAATCAAGAGAGACTTCAGGGCCTTGGGATGACTGGTTAAGGGAGCAGGAGCACAGGCCATGTTCTCCTCTATCCTTCCAGTTGCAGGGAACAATGAGGGAATAAACAGGAAGAGCCAGCAGATCAATACCTGGCTCCGAGGCTGGTGTCACCAGCAGAATGTGGGGGTTTTGATCGTGGGTCAGTCCACAGGACACCAGGCCTGCTGGCAACAGATGGGGTACACCTGTCTCAAAGGGGGAAAAGCATCTTTGCACAGGAGTCAGCAGGGCTCATTGAAAGAGCTTTAAACTACATTTGAAGGGGGAAAGGGATAAAGCCAGGCTCGCTAGAGATAAGCCTGGGTTTGGCACGCCAGTGTTTCAGGGACGGTGTGCTAGCGAGGTCCTTCTGTCTGCTCCACGGTGTGCTGAGTACACTGGAGCGCATTTGAAATGTCCCTGTACTAATGCGCACAGCACCTTAGCCACCTCAGTGACGGTAGGGAATGGAGATCCATGCGGCAGCGACGACACAAGGGTTGTTGATGTGTTAAGAACCACAGAAGCACCTGAGAACAGTCATATAGGAACTAGGGCTTCTCCCCCAAAAAAGGTGGCAGGATCAATAGCCCAAGTGAAGTGAATCTACACCAACGGCCGCAGCATGGGCAACAAACAGGAGGAGCTGGAAGCCATTGTGCAGCTGGAGAACTATGATATAGTTGCAATCATGGAAACCTGGTGGGCTGACTGACACAACTGGAGTGCTGCAATGGATGGGTATAAGCTCTTCAGAAGGGATAGGCAAGGAAGGAGAGGCGGTGGGGTAGCTCTCTATGTTAGGGAGTGTTTTGACTGTCTAGAGCTTGACGATCCAGTTGGCGGCTGGTCACAAGTGGTGTTCACCAGGGCTCAGGATTGGGGCCAGTTCTGTTCAATATCTTTATCAGTGATCTGGACGAGGGGATCGAGTGCACCCTCAGTAAGTGTGCAGACGACACCGGGTTGGGCGGGAGTGTTGATCTGCTCGAGGGTAGGAAGGCTCTGCAGAGGGACCTGGACAGGTTGGATTGATGGGCCGAGGCGTTTTACCCTGCATCTTACTAACCTTCTGCAGAGGTTTGGGGAGGAGCCTGGCATTTACTGGGAACTCAAGGAACAGCCTTTGGGAAGATTCAGGAGGAGAAAAGTTTGTGCTGCTTGTAGCACTTCCAGAAGCTCGGTCTCCAAAGCAAAGTGGGTAGAGAAATTGGGTGGTAAGCCATTACTAAAATAGAGATCTGATGTAGGCTCTCTGCTCCACCCAGATCAATAGAAAATTAAATACCCTTCCCATGTAAAAAATTATTTACAGACTGACTCTGCAATGCACAGACCACCAGTGGCACTGCCACAATCACACTAGGCTCCTAGTGACACTGCCTTCATCTCAGCTTAACTGTTAAACCATTAGTAGAGAAAATAGCATGAAAAAGAACCAATTGTTTGGCTCAGAGAACTGAGCCATCTAAATCTTCTGTTTAAACATACCTCGGTTTTTAATCATAGAAATGTCTAAAAAAATGCCTTTTTTTTTTTCCCTTTTGGTGGTTCTAGAAACCAGAAAATTCCTCTTTGTTGTTGCTTCAGAAGACAGTCTATGGCTGTTCCTACCAGTAAAAAGAAGGTACAGGATGAGAGATTTGGGCACACAAAACACATACAACATTGGCAAAACATACAGTCAACACGCTGCGCTTAAAAATATCAGACATGAACTTTTTTCACAAAATATATTGAACAGCACTCGCCCGTTAACAAATAGCTGATCAAAGAAGCTACAGAACTTGAAGTTTCTTCCAGTGCTGCTCTGGACTTAATAGTTTCACTTACACATTATACCACCCGAGTCCGTGATGCGTGCAAGATAATCATGAACAGAGGTAAGAGGCATCCCAGGTTTTCTTGGCGTACATATCCTGCTGTTGTTTTCAGCGTTAAGTCAAAGCTCAAGTCATTTTCAATCCGTCAAAGCCACAAAACTTCCACCTTTTCTCTAGGCTGGCCCCAACCCCACTCAGCTCCTGCCTGAACGTGTTCTGGAGTCGAGTCATGAGAACTTCCACTTCCGCGGTGCAAATCTGTGAAAACAGAAGGAAAATGTCACTAAAAATGAAGTAACCGAACAGTGAGTGATTGCTCAGGCATTTACTAGATACAATTAAAGTTCAGCAAGCGAAAAACCTTTTAAGATGCTGCAAGTTAACAGTTTCAGGACATATAAAGAGTGCAAAGGTCGTGTCCACCTTATATTCAATTGCCTGCAATGGTTTTCTTATGGCAGCAGAAAAATTAAAGCCTTATTTGTTATATTCACAAGAACTCAAGACTGCTTCTGCTGTCATCCACCTGCTGGTCAGGCAGAGCATTAGGATGTATTTTTGGATAAAAACATGGATATTTTCCAGCAGCGCAGCGCAATGTGACATCCTTTGTACACGGTCTGTTGATCTACCACAGCCACTGTCTATTTTTAACTCCCTTTACAGTTTGCAGAGGTTGTAGCTCTGTAGTTGCAGCACTGTGAGTTTCCAGGGGCTGTGCTTTAAGCCAGGTGCATATCGACCACGCACCTCAGCGGTGCTTCCTCCTGCTGATGTTTCTTTTTCACCCCTCCCACAGTGGATTCAGTTTGACTGTTCTGTAATGTCAAGCCTGATCCCACTTCGTGGTCTCCAATACAATGCATAACTGGATTTTCCAGGAGATAATCTTGAGTCACTTCCCCTACCATCTTTCCAAACTCATGTTCAACTCTGACCTTCTCAAGGAGGCATTACATTGTTCTTTTAATTCACTTACTTTCTGTGTATGCCAGCATGAATTACAGTTTTCAGCTAGCACTTAGCTGGGGAGAAAAGGTTTTTACTTCCAAGAGTGCAGGGTACCACTTACCACTGGGAAGACAACGTACACAGAAAGTATGTTCGCTTTTAAGCCTTCATGAGTGCGCAAGTGCATTCCTCTGAAATCCCTTTGGCAGTAATTGCAGGTCCACAGTTTCAAAACGTGCCCAACATGTGATAAAGATCAAGAGCACCTACTTTGCAAGATGGATTTGCATTTGGTGGATGCGCTTTTGTCATCACGCTGTTCTGCAATCAGGCAGAAACAACAGTCCAAGTTTTGAGAGAGACAGAGAAACAGCACAAGCTCAGGCTGGCAATGGGTTTGGTAAGGCAGAGGTCCAGCCTAAGACATGAAACAGAGTGGACACCCCAGAAGGAGCATCATCTACACTGCCCGGCACCTGCGATGCCCACAGTACTACAGAGAGTTTCTGTAAGGACTGTTTCGTGGCTTCAAACCACCCTCCATCTTAATTTCTGCACTGTCTGCTGACCTGCTGGCCTTCTTGGTGAGACTGATGGGCAGGGAACAGCGGAAAGATATTCCTCCTCTTTTCCTGCTGGCAGCTTCAAGAAACCAGGTTCTGCTCTCAAGTGCTCCCCCCAACTCCTACCCCACCTCAAGCCCAAAGATCTGCTAGATGTTAAAAGCAACACCCCCAACTAATACCTAGCTCCTGCAATAATCAGGAGGGAGACAAAAGAGCTAAGAGGTAACCTGAAGAAGAAATGGGAAGACCTCCTTTCAAGAGACCAAGCACAAAAGACCTGTGCAAGTCAGCAGGCTGATGTGTTTACCTGAGTGTCAGTGAACAATAAAAAAGACTGATGCCATTGCAGAGGTTAAAGGATGCACTTTTCACTGGGCTTTTCTGCTAAGCTTATTGTAGAAACCTCCAGTAGCCTTTTTCTACAGCGTAGATCCCAAAGAGGAAGTGCCAGAAGTCAGATGAATGATACGATGACATTTCTTTAGGAGTTCCAAAGAAAAATAAAGGCAGCTGTTCGCCTCATAGACAAATTCAGAACTAGAATGAGAAGATAAGTTATTAGATGTGTCTTTAAAGGGCTGGAGTAAGCCTGGAAAACACAGGCCAGCAAGCCGTGCTTTCTTAGAATGGAGAAAATTCACAGAATCATTAAGGTTGGAAAAGACCTCTAAGATCATCGAGTCTAACCGTCAACCCAACACCGCCATGCCCACTAAACCAAATTAAACAGTAAGTTATAAACAAAAGTAGCTGAAGAAGTTCCAGTCGCAAAAGATGATTCCCATGCTGGTGAGTCTCCTGTTCCTGGGGCGCTTTCAGGAAGACAACCGAAGAACGGTATAGCAGAGGAGCAAGATGTAATTTCCTTGAACCTTCAAAAGCCTTTGCACAGTCCCTCCCCATTTACTCTGAAAAGGAGTCTGAAGCCAGCGATACACAGAAATACTGCAGGAGAAATACTGCAGGAAACAGCAGCTTTTTGTTGTACTAAGGAAAATGCATGAACGCTGCTCTTGTTATTGCCCTTCTTGCCCCATGCACCCAGGACTCGACCCCTCCACTTTGCACAGACCCCTGTAGCAGGGACTGTGATTCAGTGCTTATGTTTTTATAGTACAAGGCCCTTGCACAGCACCCTCGTAAAAGTGACTTCACTGGCAGTATCAAAACAGAGACAGAAAAGGCTCAGTGAAGGGCTACAAGATCAGAAATACGGAAAAACTTTGCTCAGAGACACAAAACCAATATGACTGTTCAGTTTAGAGAGAATATATACAAACAGTGGCATGGCAGATGTCATAAGATAATAAACAGTATGCAAGAGGCAGGCTGTTTGCTCTTTTCCTTAGAGGTCATAGGATAAGGGAAACAAAGGCAGCAAACTTAAACAGAATAAACAAAAATACATTTTAGACGGAGATTTTAAAGATGGAATTCACTGCTGCAAAATACAGCTACTGTCAAAGGGTCTTCTTGAATTACGAGCAGGATTACACATGAACATTTGCAGCAAGAACATCATCTTCAACTCTGCATTTAGGTTAACATTAAGCTGTGTAAGGGCTAAGCCAGAAGCTGGGTTGCTTTGAGCTACCTGATCTAGTGAAAGAGGTCCCTGCCCGCAGCAGAGGGGTGGGCTAGGTGATCTTTAAAGGTCCCTCCCAACACAAACCATTCTGTGATTCCAAGGAAGTTCACCCCTTCCCTTGTCCTCTTCCAGCAAATTATTCCAGTTAATACACACCAGTTCTTACTGTCCAGCCCCCGCACCGTTCCCAGGGAGGGAGTGAAGCTCTTTACCAGCCACACAGACCAAACACACTCGGGGCACAAACATACCGCCCAGGCTGGCTCAGGGAACTGGAAGTGTTGGTTCACCTACTTTGCTGTCCAGACGCTGCAGGTAGGAACAGATGTACTCTATGCTTGCTCCAAATGGGTGCACGTGAAGAAACGTTGAAATTATTCCTGGGGAAAGGAACACCACAAACGTCATTCTCATGAGACAAGAGCCAGCTCAGAACACCAGCTCTCTGTCACTACTGGCACAGCACAGAGGGATCTAATCGGGCATTTTTGGTTTTAAGTACAGTGAGGTTTGGCTCATAGACTGCAAAGGAAACAACAGCTAACCAATGCAGCTGGTTAGCACTTAAAACCGACCTCACCGCTCTCACTCCTTGCCGAGTACTGGTAATGTGCCCAATGATGAACCACACCGAGATTATCATACATGTGGGGATGCAAGGCCCAAGGAGAGGGAAAGCAGAGCTCTCCTCCAGCTGTACCATCAAAGGTCAAGGAGCAGGAAAAGACAGAATTCAAATGGGGAGAGCAGCAGTGGCATGTGTGTCCCATCCGAACGGTTTTGCAGCACTCAGTTAAATACAGCAACCCAAGTTTGCACCCTGTCACGAAGAGACTCCTTTCCAGCTCATGGCCAGGACCATATATCAAAAAGACTGACTTGCATTTCTGACCATCATCTGCGGAAAAAGGCTGTGCCTTTGGTTTTGCCCAAAGTCCCTTCCCTCTCAGTGCAGAAACCAGCCCACGATCTGGCACAAACAGATCCATCTGGATAACAATAAATGATTTATTGTTATTCTCAAATCAGATGTAGAGGGATGGCTAAGTAGAGCTTGGCTGAGCAACAATGAACTAAAGAAAATGCCTTGTCCCATCAAGACCAGGACTTCTGTTCCTCCTTTTCAATGCTCCAGAAAATCCCCAGCTACCCAGTGCTTTGGGCTGAAAAGTCGTAGCATGCCATGTTAGGTTATTTTTCAATATTACTAGGAATAGGCAAGGGGAAAGGAAACAAAAAGGGTAGCAGATACACCTGCGCTGTAAATCAGAGGTCACCAATCCCTTCGTGAGCATCACTTGAAAATGCTGGCAATATTTCTCACCCCATTGAGCCCGGCCTTCTCTCCTTGCCACCTTTCTCCACCCTTCCTTCCTCCCTGGCTACAGCTTCTAAAGCTAGAAGAGCTTATCTGCTCGGGGTCCACGGCACACCATGCCTGACCTAACGGTGTGCCTTGCTGCTGTGTGGGTCCACAGATGTCATCCATACTGTGAGGTGCTGCAATGCTCAAGCTGATTGAAGTCTTAGAGCCTGTGACACTGCTTAGGATCCCATAAGGTTGATTAGGCTCTAACCAAATGAAGACAGACCCTCCTCTGTAACGTACTACCTTCAGTGATGCCTCCCAGAAGAGCAACTTGCACTCCAGTATGTGCTGACCTGGGCTGTCACTACACACGAGCCCCCTTTACATGTGTGTGGCTTTGACTGAAAGGTGGACAGCACAAGATTTCCACATGAGCAATGCACAAGGTGAAACCCTGACCCCACCAAAGCTCGAGGCTTTCCTTGGTTCCAGGACTCCCACCTCCATTGGCACAACCAAAGGAACAAGAGGTGGCCAGTGGGAGCTGTGAGGCCACCTTGAAGTAAGTCCCACTCAGTTCAGGTCTCCAGCATCGTCACCAAGCCCACCAAAAGAACTTACCAACTAACAGAACTTCTCGTTCAGATTTCACAGGACTATTGCTCAACGTCTTCTCAACCGGACATTCCTTCTCCTGGCTGCATGCACAAACTCTGGATGTACTGCTGTCCTGCAAAAACCCACAGGGCCCGTTCCACACACCAGCAGCACAGCAGACACTCTTACACGTCAAGCAGCAGCTTGGTTGGACTTGACAGAGGCTGTATTTTTGTCTTCCTGTTTCTGTGAGTCATTGCATTCATCGCATTGCTGTATCTACTGTTTATTTTGCAAAAATGCTTCCAACAAAGCACAGCTATGTTCATGCTGCTGTGTCTGAATTATCAAGTTAGATTAAAAGCCCACGAAGTTAAGCAAGATGCCACAACACACGCTTTATCAGCCCTGTTCACTCGTATGACGTCTGCTCTAGAAGGGCCTTATTTTAAATAATAAAAGAAAAGACAGACTAGAAAGCAAGCCTTGCAGTGACTAATTCAGATGTAAACATTTATTTTTCAGATGCCTAAACTGAGGCAATATGATTAACCAAGTGCCCAATGGCCGCAAAGGGTTTAGGGTCAGACTGTCCTTGATTTGAGTTTATGGTACTGAATTAAAACAGAATTTTGCATAATTTATTATCCCCAAAATAAACACAAGACTGCCAGTGATGCAAAGACTTGGTGGGTGCACTAAAAGCAGGACTTTCTTTTATTCTTAAGTTTTATGCAGAATTCCAGTGGTCAGAGCTACAGACAGCTATAATTGGAAATAGCCACCAGTCACTAGTGAAACGGACTGGACTTGGGCCAATAACAAAGATATAATTAAACAGTTCCTTGGGTTTGCTTAACTTCTTACGTCAGTGCAATTCTGAACTACACAGGACTGAAACTGTGCGGTCCTGGCCTAAGCAGGCTATAATTTGCTTCTGCAGGAGAAAGTAAAGGTCTGCACTGTGGAAACGGAGCTAGCTTCAGGCTGACACAGGGACTGCAGTTCAGCCAGTAGCGTTATACTGGCAACACACTGCCTGCTTTCCCTTGGAGATCCAACAGATATTTTTGAAGGCTAGTTGAAATAACAGTGCAAGAAATTAGCTTGCACACCAAAACCCATTTTACACCACAGTGTTGCAAATACCTACTGTTCTTCCAGCCAGCAGCTGCTAGCAATGGATAACTTGACAATTTTAATTTGTACATAGAGACAGTCTGTATGTACCACGCTTATACACTTCACAACAAACCAAACTTTAAAAAATTTTTCATTTTACAATGAGGTGTCATTACTTCCCTCAGTAAGATATTCTGACTAAAGTAACAGAAAAGAAACTCTTGGACTTACATTCCCTTGACAATCAATCGCATCTCTCTCCTTGTCCTCTTCATCTGCTATGCTTTGCTGTATATATAGGTAAAGAAAAGGAAAGATTACTGATGATAGTCTGTTATTTCTGTTCTTTGATATCAGGCACTGAAGCTCCTGCACTGAAGCTTACTGGGATACAAAGCCATTTTTAATTACTAGAAAGACATTTATCATCTTCCCAGCTCACGGCACAAAAATGCGGGGCTAAAGATTGAAAATCTGAGACAAGACCTAGGACTCAGCTCTGTGGTCCTCAGTGAGAAGTGCTGCGTAATGTTTCTTGTCTATCCTGTATAACTGTGACAGTGCTATAGAGGAGAGGACCAAGCAAGTTTAGATTCTTGCATGGGTCCACAATCAAAAGACAGAGCGGATCACATCTGAGAAGAAACAGTATGTATTTGTGTTTAGAATAAATCCAGCAAGCATAAGAATATTATAACACTGACAAAAACTTTCAATTCAATAGCGTTTTATGGAGGTCAGATCAAAACACGTCCCTAAAACGCAAATCTAAAAATCAATGTTTCATAACTGAGACCCTTTTTCTTATCTTTTAAAGCTCAGGTTGCAGAAAAACCACATTTCAGCTGCAATACCACTGTATACTATAAAATGAAAGGTAATCTTTTATTTATACAGTTGCTTGTGTAGATTGTCTCATTGGTACATGAAGCAATCAGCAAGTTCATTACTGATATACATCCTCCAATTTGGCGGGTAATTTTTTCTAGCTTTCCAAAGGCAACTGCTCCTAAGCCAGGGCTAGGCATCTCCTACACTCTGCCCTTCACTGCGCTCATGATGGACCATGCAATCCAAGGACTGCATTCACTGCTGAGAATAAGGAAGCACTGGGATAGCACATACCTGCTCCTTCAGGTTTTCTAATAATGTTTCTATTTTTAGTTTGTCTTCTCTCACTTTTTCTAGCTCAGCTTCTCTCTTTTTGTATTCATCTTGTACTTTCAAAAGATGCTGGAAGAGAAAAGATAAACTCAGTTCTTAACCTGCCTTTCACCTCCTACTATTTAAAGAATGTAAAATGAATAAGGGCTTTTCCATGAAGACCAGACAGATCATATTCAGAACAATTAAAAGGTTAAGTATACAACAAGAAGAAATCCTTTCTACAATGTACCTTAGAAACATCTTTGCTTATTAGCATACAAAAAAAGCATGACTTTGTAAACATGGGGCAGTAATTTCATCATCAACAAACCTTCACTGTCCCTGAAATAAAGCATGTGCTGTGCGCTAGACTGTGGGCCTGACCCATGTTAAAGGTAACTCTTCCTCTCCCCCAGTCTGGTTCACGCTATGGCCATACAAACAGCACATGGGAAAGAGCAGCACAGAAACAAGTGAGCTGGGGAAGTCACCTTAAAGTCTTCCTAAATCTCTAGCCCCACGTTAATACAGAGGTGTCTTGCAATTTAAGAAAATACTCTGAAACAGCTACTAGATAAGGAGATTTGCACCATTATTTGCACAATTCCACTTGCAGAAAAATGTGACGACTGCTCCCCACCCTGGGCATCAGCCCAGCAGTGCAGGGTGCTGCACCACCCACCACAGCAAGCTGTGCGCTGCCCTGACTAGCAAAGCTCAGGAGAAAGGCTGGGTAGTGAACACAACCCTCCTCTCAGAAGTAAGCAGAATGAAATTCTCAAGCCCAACCTGGTATCTAGCAAGGAGAACCAAGCTGTGGTTGTGGATGTAACAGTCTGCTTTCAGAGCAAATTTGTACCCTTGAACATGTCCATAGGGAAAGCAGATGAGTACAAAAACTTAATGGAACAAGCCAACACAGGCGACAGAGGAAAAGTGTGATTGATTTCCCATCGGAGCCACAAGAAAACAGTGCTCAGCAAACTGCTAACAGCACTGGGCCTCCCATAAATAGGCAAGATCAAGTCACCAGGAGGAGAAAAGCTTATATGGTGAAGGCGCTAGCCTAGCAGCGTTCCTAAGTCAAACCAGGATACGTAAATATATATATATTTCAGTGAATGCTTCTTCCATGTTTAAAACACCCCTAATCAGTTGTTTAATGTTTTTCTCCCTCAACTAGGAGGGGGGAAAAAAAAAAGATTCATAAACCTGTTCATTAATAGTTACAAACAGCATCTTTTTTCATCAAGGCAGTTCCTCCAGAATATTCTCCCAGCACCATTCATCCTGATAGCGGTGTAAAGAGAAACTTGACCTGCCTGATAACAGATTTCCCTTTTTGCAGGTATGTCCTGCAATTCCTGCCGTTTCCTCCCGCACTGAAGGCTGACAGCGACTACAGAAGGCTTTTCCTGCCAGCTCCAACACCACAAACACCAGTGCTGTCAGTTCATATGTCAGGTTCATGCAGAGAACGACCACAGCCTTCACAGCATTGCTGCAGGTTCTTATTTTAAGAAAGTGCTTACCTGAACAATTATATGCTCTACATGCTTGGTTATCAGTCTGGCTTAATATCCCAAGGGCTACCGTTAAGGTTTACGAGGACCCAAACCACTCAATATTGAGCCCAGGGAAATCCCAAAGAGCAAGACATGCCCTACACATTTCCATGAGAATGAAAGCCCAGTAAAGTTCAGAAAAGGTGTCAAAGCAAGCTTGGGATTTCCCACTTTCTTGCTCATGCTGGTAACCAGGATCTCACACGGTTACGGAGTGGTTAAGCACAGACTCAGTACTTCAGAAGTCACAGTGTGGTAAAGCAAAGAGCACACAAGGAATCCATAAACTATGGATTGTTTCCATGTGACTTATCAGTTCATACACAATCACTGTTTTGAATGTTTGGTTGTTTGGGGTTTTTTGGCAACACTGGAAATGACAGAAAGTTGCTCCCATTTGCCAGTTTTGATCACACTGAAAAGCAAAATGTCTTTGCTTGTGTTTCTGCTCCATATCACAGCGCCTTCGTAGCAAGGCCATAGCTATAGAAAAGTCTGGGCCCACCTTCTGCATCCCCTGCAGAGCCTGCTGGAGAAGCTTCATCTGCTGCTCCTTGGTTGTGTCTTCATCCCTGCTCGCTTTGCCTTGCTCCTGCTTTAGCAGTTCCACCTCATTCCGGTAGGCATCCAGCTGCCAGCGCAGACTGTCGTTTTCTTCTTTCAGGGCTTCCACCTGTGATACCAGCGCTGGAGAACAAGGTAGGCAGGGATCAAAAGTCACAGAACCGGGGGCGAGAAGTCCTTGGGTGCTCTCCCCCAGCACACAGTGTCTCTCTGTAGCTCCCACTGCCCTGTTACAAATCCGAAGCACCAAAATGAACTTGTCCTAACCACTGTTCGCGACATCTCTTTAGAAAACAAGCTCCTTTGCTCAAAGAGCACCTCTCAATGGTGAATGCAGTATTTAAGTTGGAAGAAAAAAAAAAAAAAAGAAGCAAAAGAACATATTGGGGTGAAATGACCATGCTGGCAAGGAAGCAGGTTTTCCCAACCAGCAAAGCTGAAAGACTCTGGGACAGGCTCCACTGGCACCTTCAGCCAGAAGAATGTCTCCATCAAGTCATGGGATGAAATACCTGCATCAGTCTGGTGTCCACATAGGGCTTGATAAATTCAGGAATGGGATTACATAACATTATGGCTGCAAAGACAGCTTCAGCAGGTTTCAAAACATACCCATGAGGTGGAGGGCATAGCCTGACATCCCACAGCCTTCCTATTAACCTCTGCTACTTGGGCCATGGCCAGAGCATGGGGTGGTACGTTTGCCCAGGACTCGCATGCTGTACTCGGAAGACAGGGAAGACAAAGACATGCTGCAGGGGAAGGGGATGGGTTTTGGGTGGGTTTTATCTAATTGCCCCCCACTCATCTCCCAGTTAGTGAATGTGTGTTGGACCCCACTCTGTGCAGCTACACATTTCAAAAGGAAGGACAGCAGGCAATATTCATTAGATCAAAGACTGCTTTCCTCATACCAGAAAACCAGGGTGGAAATAACTAACTCCCTAAAATGGATCTGGACAAAAAAAGGCAGTTTCCAGGGTAAGCCCCTGCTCTTTATGAATTCAAAGAACCGACAGATTTTGCCTGGTCATTTGCCCATCAGGTCTACTCTTTGCTCCCGTTCACCATCTGGCCACACAGAGCAGGGCCAGGCAAGGAGATTCTCTAAGCTTCTACTACAGCTGAAAGAGATACGCATGCAAGCATGCCTGTACACTGCGCTGGCAAGTTTAGGAACAATGAGGGGGAGGCAGGACCACCACTGGGCAAGAAAAGCCTTCCAATGACAGCCTATAAATAGTCTCCCTAGCATAGCCCATAGCAGTGGAAAACGTACCTGAACATCACTGAAACACTCATGTAGACAAGATTTGTGCCCATTTGCTAGTGAAATGCTCAGTAACAGCAGGAAAAAGTTGCAGCGTTTCTGAGACAGTGCAGGTGTCTCAGCAAGGCACCTTTTGAGACAGCGGAGGTGTCTGAATATTTCAGAAAAGGAAATTCAGAAGGAAGAAAAGGCTAGGTGTTTTTAGCAGAAGTGTTTGGAAAGATGGGCCTTTCATAGCTTTCTGAGGCAGGAGACAGCTTAGGGACATTGCTTAGGACAAAGGAAAGGACCTGGCTACTTCTCTTCTGATGATCTAAGCAAAGCATGATGAGCACGTCACAGCATTTAGAGTCTGGTAAAACAGACCATAGAAAAATTTTGCTTAGATGGGGTCGGGGTTGGTGGCAAGAGGGCACCTGGAAAATGCTTTGGAGGCATTAAAATGTTAGTTCAGCTTGAACAGGAACGTTGCTATGGCAGGCTCATCATCCGAAGAGAATAAACTGGAAGCAACCTTGACCAAAGATTTTTCTAACTCCACTGGTAGCATGCGAGAAACAACAGTTGGAAGCAGCCCTGGAACAGTTCACCAACTGCGGTGCACAGCTTTGCCAGCTTCTGTCGCCCCAGAAGGACGGTATGGTCCTCAGCGCTGCATTACCAGAGTCACAACTAGGGCTGTCCACTGACGCCCTAGAGACCAGATTCAAGCCTTTTAAGAAATGATAGCAGGGGGAGAGAATGGGACAGTGAATAAATCTAAATAATTCAGAGAGAGGGACAGAATGGAGAGGCAAAAGATCCTAACGGGTACAACAAGACAGACCCCAAACCAGTAGAGGCTCGCTAACCTAGAAAGGACCCAGAGGGCATTAGGAGGACTCAATAGCTGGTGTTCCTTGTCCTCCATGACACCCGAAGGAATCCCAGGCAGACCAACAGAATACAAGCATCTTGGTGCCTGCATGCTGGACAGACCATCTGGAGACACATCCTGGTGCCTCACTACTGGGCAGGCTACTTGGGGACATGTTTTAATACTGGTGAGTATATGGCTACATGAGTATTTGTGTGCACCGGTAAAATCAGTATGGCTCCACTTTTCCTTCTCCCTTTGTATAACAAGTTGGCACTGAGATTTGCTGGGTTGTTGTTACAACACTGGAACGTAAGATTTCCCACACAACCTTCATGATGGCATTTCCTAAGCTGAGCGTTTGTAACTTCAATATCCAGGAAAGTCCTTCAATGCATTTCTGGACTATTCATCTTTTATTTCTTGCAGACAAAGGGAGAAGGGGTATTTGGACAGTGCAGTTCTCATGTTAGTCCCAGCCAAGGGCATTTCAAGCTGTACGACACAGGAGCATGCAGCTGACCGCCCAGCCCTGCGCTAAGACTACAGCCACATCTGCCACCGCACACACTTGCTGCTCCCTCTCCAAGCGCTGCTGTTGGCCCAGCTGCTGCTCAGAGTACCGCTGAAACCCAGCGCCTTGGGATGGGGATCCGCTGCTGCGTAAATGTGTCTCCGGTGCTGGGCAGACATAAGCGGTGCACTGAAACGGGACAGCTCAGGTCGACAGCGGTGTAGCTGCAAAAGCAGGGTGCTCTGCACAGAGCAGCCGTGCAGGTGACCTCAGCCGCACACCGCTGCACCTGTGCCATTACCTGCACACATGGCAGGGAGCTTACAGCTCCTCCATGTACATCTCCATGAACCCCACACGTCTCGCTAGGGACTGCAGTTCAGACAGAGCTTTAGGTTACCCTGACCATCGCAGGGAGGAGTGACAAACACTGGCTACAGAACCAGGCACTGAGGGGGAAACAACTCCAGATAACTGCAGTTGATTTTGCTCTGCCTGTGACAATTTTGGGGTACAGAACGGTCAGAATGCAGCTCCCGAAAGAAACCACTGAAGAGACAAGTACTTTGGTTTATAAGCTGTAAAAAGTGATTTTACCTGATTCTTCTGTTTCTTTCATCTCTGATGGATCTTCTATTTCTTCATCAGACATTTCCATTTCCTCCTCTCTTCGAATACCCATTAGTTCATCATTATGAATGTTACGGATTTCCTAAGGTTCAGAAAGTAGAGGAGTTTTTTAAATACAGATTACAAGGAACAGATTGGTTGGATAAAAAGATGCTGAAATTTAAGTCTGTAAAATGCAACTCCATATTACAAGAAAGGGGAAATGACAAAAAAAAAAAGTTAGGCACAGTTGATAAAAAAGATGCTGAAATTTAAGTCTGTAAAATGCAACTCCATATTACAAGAAAGGGAAATGACAAAAAAAAAAAGTTAGGCACAGACAGATCAAGGACAACATCTAGCATGAGTCAATCTGTCAATGCTACTGGTATTACTAACTCTTCCATCTCCCTCTACTCTTTGCCCCAGGGCAGGCACCTAGCCTTCCCCACAGTGTAGTTTCTCGGTGAACCCTCTCCCCGCATCTGCCCTGCTTGATGTCCACACACCTCTCCTACATTCAGCGCTGGCCAACCTCGTAACCTCCACTGAGTCACTGCCTCACGTCTTCTTGCTTGCAGCACACATCTAGATCAGTAACGCCCTGCCGCCACGAACTGCTATCAGTGCTTTCCCCTGCCCCGCACAGCCGAGGGTTGTGCCGCTCTTGCCCAGCCCTGATGCCATTCTGCCCTGCCTCTTCCCTGCTGGGCTCCTACCCCACGCTCTCCTGCTCAGCGCCTGTGACAGATGCCCCCACCCTGAGTGAGCAGTACTCTGGTTCAGCCGTCACCGACAAGTATGCCTGACCGAAGCCAGCCCTGCCGTGCAAACCGTGAGAAATTGTGCTAGGCCGTATCTTCTCAGGAGCTAACAGTACCAGCCCGAGCTGGGACTAGACCAAACTAAAACCGCTACAGCTGCACACCTGCGCATGCACCAAAGGGGGGGTTGACTACGAGTCCATCAGTTGACACTATAAAGATCTGTAGCCCCCCCCTGAGCCCACTGAGCTCTCCTGTACGGCAGCAGGCTGCACGGCAGTGATCTCCCTTGGGCAGGGACGCCTCTCAAGGTTACCCCTCAAGGCTGAGAGACCCTTTACCCGGCATCTGATATCTATAATGAGGTAAGCGACATTTTACATTATGCCTAAAAGTATATCGTGTGCTAGCAATATTTTTATCTCTTTCTCTCTCTCTCCAGCTATAGCTTCATTATTAGAAGTGTAGTAAGTAGTAGTGTTTGACTGCCGTCTAATCACAGTCAAATCACCGTCAGTCGAATCACCACTGTCAAATCACTGTTTAATTACCATTCAATTATTGCTTAATCACCATTTGATTACCATTTAATTATCATTCAATCATCAATTAATTATCATTTTATCATCATTTAATCATCAATAAAACCCTGCTAGTTAACCCCACAACAATGACTTCTCTTAATAATTCACCTGTGACAGCTCCTCCACCAGTGATGTCCCCTCCTGACACACCTAGCCCAGCTGCTAGGTAACACACCTCCCTGGCATTTCTTTCTCCTGCCAGACAACATATCCTGCACCTTCCAAGACTATCTCGCCATGTACCTCTCTTGCCCTGCTGCAGCATGACCCGCAGTGCTGCCCACTCCGTTCCTCCATGCCTCCTCCATGCAGCTGCACGGCTACAACAACAAAACCTACCCGAGACAGAGGTCATGCCATAGAAGCAGGAATTGCAAGTACACAGAGAGAGGCCAGAGACTCCCCAGCCACCTCCTGACCCTTATCAATCCCAGTGCACTTTGAAGCTTCTCTCCCCTCTTCCCCTGTGCCAACCACCGGTGCTCAGCCTGCACCACAGTGACTCTCCCTCCGGCTGCTGGGATCCTCTCCACTCTCTGTCACAGCCTTGGTCCACATTAGGGATCGGAAAGGAAGAGAGATGCTACCTCCTACACTGGTCCCTGAGCCGCCCCAGCTCCTGCTTGTGTGTGTCCTTTCTGCTCCATTCACCTTGTCCAGGCAGAGTCAGCCAACCCCACCTGCGCCTCCGCACAGGAACCCCTGCTCTGTCCTCTGCTCCAGCCAACTCACACCGGGCAGAGACAAAGCTCTGCACAGACACGCATCAGCCCGTTTGCAAGGCAAGGGAACGCCTAGTTCAGCCTCTCCATCCCCTCTGCAGAGCAGGACAAGCAACATTCAGAAAACAACAGTCAGTTATTCAAAGAGATGGAGATGTCAAGAATACTTACTAGAGGCTAGCACAGGCGGCCAAGTGTCCCTACCCGATGCCAATTTACCACAACTTCACTTGGATTACACACCCCAGAAACAGCCATAGGAGAAAAGGTATAGAAGATTTGCTTATGAAATAAAATTAATGTCCAGCTCTTTGTAGATTTTACTCTAATGGCCTGAAACTTTCAAAAACTATGCTTGCCAGCACCGAGCACGCATCCACCAAGAGCAGCCAACAGGGAAAACGACCACGCTTTCAGCTTGGATGAATGGACACCTTGGGGACAGCAATGGGGAAAGGGCAAGAACAAGGCAGATCCAAGCACGATGGGCAGCGCTGGCTACACTTCCAAAGCAACTGCTGCCTGCCCTAGAGACCACCCATAAAATGGCAGCTGGGTTGAAGATCAGAGGAAAATCTTCCCACCGTCTTTAACTGACTCTGCTCAACAGCTGAAAGCCTAAAGTGGCCTTGAAGCTGGAGACGGCTGTGCAGAGCACAGCACGCAGCAGGGCCAGGCTTGGCTGGGCTGCACAGCAGGCTATGCCATGGGCCACCAGCACCCTGACTGCACCCAAGGGGGAGCCCTGGATGGGAAAGGAAAAAGCATCAGAGAAGCCGAATACTTGAGTAAGGCGCTTCCTAGGCAAGGGAATATGCTGGCTGGTAGCTATCGTAGCATGGTGGTTCACCAGGTCTCAAGCTTCCATGGCTTATTAATGAGCTGCCTGCAGCTACAGGACCTGCTGCCACTGCCTGGGAAAACCACCTTAGGTCACCATCGATAAAAATAAAACCCTGGCCTAGACTAACGACTCCCCAACAGTCGGGACTGAGCTGCCCGCCAGGCTTTCCTCCAATGCAGTGATCCACAGGATTAAATTCTGCCAAAAGCTGTACCAAGAAGATGCATCTTGTGGGTCCACCTTCCTTTAAGAGAAGACCCTAAGCTGGGGGAGACCAGCAGGCTGAGACCAGCAGCAAGTACTCCTGGAAGAGGCCTCACCAGTGGTCTCTCAGCCTCTTCCCACCGGGAGAACTTACCTTGGAACAAAAGACAGCTCCAAATGGAGAGAGTGCTCCCACCCCAGTCATAGTAAGCAATCTCAGTAAGCAGGAAAGAACAGGAGCACTAGGGCTCAAAGTAGAGGCATAATCTGAATCAGACTCTCGACCTGGCTTATCAGGTGTAAAACAAAACATTAGCTCTTCCTTTAGCTACTACAAAATGTTTGATTCAGTGGGATTTGGAAAGAAAGTCCCAGAAGTGCAGTCTCATGGGGAGATCACAGCTGGAAACTTCCCAGGAAAACACAGTCATTTAGAGTTTTCCAACATTGTGGAGGATCAATCATCTGCTTTTTACCAGAAGGTCACCGGCTGGGTATTCAACTCTACAGATTTTTCTCAGGTCACAGATACATGGGAAGGTGGCCTGCATATACCCAACCTAGTGGTGATCATGGATCACCAGCCTGTCAACTTTGCCCAGATTTACTTTTGATGTTAAATAATCTTAAAGGTGAAAGATGACTTCTGCCTCTACTGGGATAGACTTGTTTTCCAAGTTTGCAATAAAGGAACTCCATACCTAAGAAAAACACTTAACCACAGGAAGACTTATGCTAGAGGGAAGGGATGCCAACCAGAGGGACATGGACAGCCTGGAGGAGCGGGCCCATGTGAACCCTCATGAGGCCTCAACAAGGCCAAGTGCAAGATTCTCCACCTGGGCTGGGGCAACCCCTGGTATCAATACAGGCTGGGGGATGAATGGGTTGAGAGCAGCCCTGGGGAGAGGGACTTGGGGGTACTGGTGGGTGAAAAACTGGACATGAGCCCGCAATGAGCACTGCATCCAGCTCTGGGGTCCCCAACACAAGGAGGACATGGACCTGTTAGAGCAGGTCCTGAAGAGGCCACAGAAAGAGTCAGAGAGCTGGAACCCCTCTGCTAGGAAGAAAGGCTGAAGGACTTGGGGTTGTTCATCCTGGAGAAGGCTCCAGGGAGACCTTATTGCAGCCTTTCAATATATAACATGCAGAGAGGATATTGTGTCGCTAAATTTGTACTCCCCATGATGGCCTTTATATATACATATTTCTTTTTTTACAAGAAAGACAGAGAGGGACTTTTTACCAAGGCCTGTAGTGACAGGGCAAGGGGCAATAATTTTAAACTAAAAGAGGGCAGGTTTAGACTGGGCATAAGGAAGAAATGTTTTTCGATGAGGGTGGTGAGACACTGGAGCAGGTTGCCCAGAGAAGCTGTGGATGCCCCATCCCTGGAAGTGTTCAAGGTCAGGTTGGATGGGGCTTTGAGCAAGCTCATCTAGTGAAAGATGTCCCTGCCCATGGCAGGAGGGGTGGACTAGACGGTCTTCACAGGTCCCTCCCAGCCCAAACCCTTCTGTGATTCTGTGGTTCTATGCATAAGCAGTCTGGAAGACAAATCTTGTAAGAAGCCATATGAAAGTTCCTAACAGAAATAACCTTACAGAACCAAACAGAAAACTTTATCATATTTCTGCTTTGCAGACAAAGTTCAGTGTTCTTTATTACTATATCATGAAGGTTAAGAAGGCAAAGCCCATATAGCTCTTATACCTCTTTCTCTATAGAAAGAATGATACATGTACAATCTCTTTCCAGAAAAGCAATTTCTCCTGTCTGTAAATCATGTTCTCATCTCAAATCTGTCATTTATACCTTCGCAGATAAGATCTATGGAGAGAGGCTTAATCAGCTACTTGATGCACTTTTTTCTGTTGGTTAGTGTTACACATACATTGGAATATCAATGCGTCACCATTTCATTAAAGATTAATGTTGACATACACTGGAAAATAAGGATAATGTACATCACAAGCGTTTTGCACTAACACCCAAGAGTGCTGGATTAATTACCGTTTCACAAAAAGCAACCCTGTAAGATCCCTCCTATATGAAAGTATATAGTGATCTGCTTCTTTCATTTCCATGCCCTGACTGAGACAATCCCATGTCTTTCACAGAAACTAACATCCCTCAGAGAGTAACAGGTTTCTTTTTAGACACTCATTATTACAGTTAAAAAAAGATGGTATTTTAACACAGTTAAGACTAACCACCCAGACTAATGTTTTCAGAGCTGGTTTAAGCAAACCCGTTCTGTTTCGCACTGGGACAAGACCAGTAGGATCCACGTGGGTCTGAGACATGGTGCCTACCACTGCATGAGGAAATGGTGATAACTTACGAAACACCTCCGGAGCTATCACAAGTGATGCTCTGTGAGCTTGGTGTTCTTGCAGAGTCGTAGCTACCTAATGAAAGCACTAAACTCATTTAACACTGTTATTTTTCAATACAAATGTATTGGAAATTGAGTATTTTAAAATATTTGTGTGCCATTTCTTCTTCCCTGTTCTGAGCATTGTCAGGAAAGAAGCGATGATGAAAGTTATTTCTTCCAGACATATCAGAATACCACACGTGGCACTGATGTGCTGCACAGGCGACTTTAGTATAGCTTAGCCTTCAAATCCCTAACAGAAATCAGTGTACATGCCTGATGGACAGGTACGCTGCCAGGATTTGGGTAGAATATATGTGCTCTCCAGCTTGGGGCTCTACTTTTGAGACAGACACCTGAATATTGCAGAAGAGATTTGAGAAGGAGTAGCTGAACGGGATTTCAGCATCGTACTGAAAGAGTAACTGAACATGATGCTGTGGCTGAAAGCTAACCTTGCTCTTTATTTGCTACTCTATGGCTTGCATATTAGAGTCCTTTTTCCTAGGAATAAACAAGCACTTCAGAATACAAAGTGCGGTTCAGAGCGGTCTTTGACCGCTGCCTTCACCTGGGCAGGTGTCATGAAACATCTCCAGACTTTCAGCTCTACCTAATCTACACAGACTCAGGCACGCTCCTGCAGGATGGCTGTGGGCTAGAAGTACTGAGTGCACTCCACAACTGGGAGCCAAAAAACTGGTCTTCCAGAGAATTACTGGGCAACACTAGGCAAACGCTTCTTCACTCGGTGCCTCCCCTTTCCCCATTCTCAGGAGGGTACATTCACTACTGGCTGCACAGGGCTCTGGAAAGCCACACGACGAGGTCCAGCAGTCAGCAAACCTTTGCCTTCCAAGTAAGGGCGCTGAAACAAAGAAAAATGAAAATCCAAAGCTCTCAGGCAGAGTAGGATTTCTCACCCAAACCTGACTAATCAGCAGTGTGTGCAGACAAGACCCTTTCGGCTGTTTACACATCTGTCATGGGAACACTTAGACAGCGGTGCCAAACACCCAGCTCCTTTCCAGTCCCTCAGCCACGGCTGCCATCTTACACATCCAGATTGATATTCCCAGCATGGCTTTGCTGAACGCTGGCAACCCACGGGGCTGGAAACCTTCTTAAGGTTATGCTGAGATGAGAAAGCATCTGCTTTGCCTTATTTCTGACACATAAATGACAAGATCAGCCCTGAACCGTTAGTGTTTCTGCAGTGAATAAAGAATATTTCCCAACACAGCAGTGTCTCCCTGGATTAGGATAAAAGGCAGGTATTTTTCATAGCAGTTCTTTTCTACACTTCAGATCTGGGTCCTACTACTTCGAAGAAGTCTTTATTGTCAGTGGTAAAAACTGATTCAAGCTCCACCCTACTTTAAAAGCTTAATGAGCAAGAAAAATACAATTTCTTGCTCTTTCCTTCAAAACTATTCATACCCCAGGGTGACAATACTTCTGTTACCACCTTGAACATTAACCTTTCTACTTTGAGCATTAGCCTTTCTAGGGAAGGGACACGGAAGTGAGACTCCAGGGTAGACGAGCTCTGACTAGGAGACCCACCACGGGGCTCTTCCGCCACTCTTAGCTGTGCTCCTGGGAACGTGGAGGGCTACCATCTCCTCCCTCCTTCCTCAGGCCAGACAAACATCAAGATGGGCTCCGCTGCCAGATGCGGCCAAGCCATGTGACATCCTACTATGCAGGTGACAGAAGGCTGCATGTATTTCATCAAGACTCCAGGACAAACACCTCCCAAAACCATCACTTTCCCAAGAGACAGCCTTTCTTTACCTTCACTTTATTTTTTCTGACATTGTGCCTGACTCCAATAAGATTTGATAAGACCAGATAAGGGACTGAGAACTATTCTTCCTCTTGCAGGAAGAGCAGTTGGAGTGACATGCCTTCTTCCATCAACCCCATCCTTGTCACCGCCTTTAAATCCTGTATTTCACTAGCAATGTTGCTGCATGGGATAAATACACAAATATGAGAACATCCTCCCTCAAGTTTTTCAGACTGTCCAGCTGCAATTATTTCCACCTCTCACATCTGTCAATAAAAATGTGATAAAACAGATCTCTGATGATGCTTAGGGTTTGTTGGTTTTTTTTTTTTAACATCTCTCTAGAAATCCCTCTTGCTTTAACATTAAAAACAGCAGAAAATAGATCAATAATTATTATTACTGTGCACAACTTCAATCAGCATACAGATCTCAAGGTATTGCTACTAGCAACACAAATACCAAGAGAAAATTGATTACCTGTAACACAAGAGACGACTGAGTAATTCCCATCTTACACTGTGAATTAAGGTGTTGTTATCCACGCAAGCATTGTGCAAACTTAACATCAATATCCTGACAAGAAAGAGACTGTGCTGGAGGATCTAACACAATAAAAAATTACCAACCTCTGCTTGTTTGCACCACACGCTGATGTTCTTACGCTGAGCTTTCGTGAAATGGTCCCAAGCCTTTTGTTTGGAGGCAGAATGGTACACGGCCACTATCTGCTCGACTGTAGTATCAAATCAGCAGTCAAATCAGGCCAGAATATCATCCAGAGAGGGCGAACAAGAGGAGTAAAGGAGTAAAAAAGTGGAATCAGGCAGGTGGTTTGGCTAACCTTTTCTTATAACACTGTACTGTGCTGAAGCTATGCTCAGGAAAGGGACTCTGTGCCTGGAAAGAAAAGCGTGGACTTCACCAGGCCAGTGTCAAATGCTGACAGAGTAATGATCAACTAGGAAAACAGCGTCTGCTCTCAACGGGGGAAAAAAGGAAGGCACATGCTGTGCTGAAAAATATCCAAATACGCCGCACAACACTGCCTATGAGTGTAACAAGTACACCCAGGTAGGACTCGCTCTCTAAAATGGGATGATTAAGTACAACTGTGAAAGCTGGCACTTCGGATGTTCTTCTGCCCGGTGGGTGCAGTCCCAAAGAACAGTGCCACAGCCCGAGCAGGACCGCATCCCACCCGTGCATGCTACAGAAAAAGGATTCTGGCATCAGCCATCAACGTTTTTTGTTCCTGAGATTTATTCCTTCTATTTCTCTAGAAAATTTGCAGAGGTTTTTGGAAATACAAAGTGCCTCTCCTTGGATGAGAACTCACCCAAGAGCAGAAGGCACATCTACCTGATTTTTTTTTGTTTTGTTTTGTTTTTACACACTTGTGATGTTGTAGTAGGCATAATTCTTACAAAATAAAATCAGCTCTCTGCTACTTAGGTTAACCTAAGAGTGGCTGAGATATCAGTGGGTGTTTTATAGAGCAGAGTTGCATGCTACTGTCTATTACTACTTACTCTGCAGTGCTTACTGCATTTCCCTCTGGACCGTGTGCCCATATTTTTTACCATGAACAGAATTTAAAAAAAAATTTTTATTAAAAATCAAGTATCAAACAAGTAACAGCCAAAATTACTGAATATAAAATTGAAAGTTAAGAATATTCACAACCTAGCCAAGGGGCTCAAGGAGGCTTAGTACAATTGTGGAGAACATACTCTGAAAGGTACTCTAAAAAAAGTAAAAAAAAAAAATATTCAGACTTACTAAAGAACGGGTGTGTAAGAGGCAATGAACGGTTTGAGGAACTGTTATAAATCACATCTTGGAACTAATATAGCCCATGCCTCTTCCTTGATTTCATGATTTAATAAAGTACTGGGATTTGAAAGACCCAGGTTTGAACGCTGTTCTGCAACAAGTTTTCAGTTGTGACTGAGAACAGGGTGTTGGGAACACTCTGCTGCATCCTACCTTTGGCGAATAAATCCTGTACGCTTCGCTGAGGCACCAGATTACCAGGAACTTACCTTGTCTGTGCACAGAAGTGGAGTTGAAAAGATGACAGAACTACTAACAGACTATAATTAAAAGAGGAACAAAATTAAGAATTCATTCTCTCCTCCCCCCAGATCTGGACTTTTACTCCAATAAGAAGTACCACAAGAAACTTTTGCCAAGTTAATGATATATACTTATAAATTAACTGTAGCTGCACAGAAGCGATTGCTGCTTCTTTTCCTGGAGCCCTTTTAGTGTGGCCTCTCCAGACTCTAGAAATTAAGCGTCTTCCCTACAACAGCAGACAACCAACATTCAGTGCGGAAACACTACTCACACTGAACCAGAATCCCTGAGAGAGCAAGTTTGAATTTCTCTTTAGCTTCTTCCATCTCCTTCTCGTGAGCTGCTTTCTCGTTCACTAGTCTGCGAATGTGGCTGTTGGCCGACTGGATCATGGAATAGAAGTTGTTGGCAGTCCTCCTGTTCACTTCTCCACGCTCTATCCAGGTCAGCAAGGTCTGGATGGCTTCCAAGAACTTTGTGTCATCTGCAGCAAGAAAGGACACCTTTACACCACAGAAGTACAGGGTCACTTGAGCAGCTTTAGATCCTTTCCCTGGCACTGCTGAACTGCTCTTTCAAAGGTCAGCTTACTTCAGGCGGCTAATCACAATTCTTGAAAGCACGGTATTATCTGAATACAAGGCTATACAAAGGAAGGCAAGTCTAACATCAAGTTCATGGAGCAAACCATCTGTTGAGGTGCAACAAGAGGAGGACCAACTTCTAGAAACCTACTGGAAAGCTTCATATGCCTATTCAGATGTACTCTTTCATGAAAGAAAATATCCTCCAGCTCCAAAATAATCAGGCCACACATGGGTCTTAGGCTTCAAAGAAGGTCTTAGGACTTACACTAGTCCTTTTAACATGAATAAAAATGCTTTGGAAGAAACTGTTGTACTCAAGTATGGGTTTGCTTTTACAAAAAGACAAACAATTCTGAAAAAGAGATGGCTAGGAGAGCTGCTGTGTGCAGGCTGAGGGCTCAGTCTGAACGGGCTCTGCAAGGTCTAGATGGCACCATCATTTCAAGTTCAGCAAGACGACCACTAGAGAATACAAATCTCTGTCCCAGCATCTGCACAGAAGGGTGGCCGTGGCCTGCAGAACCACTTACCTTTCAGTTTCTCAGCGACAACGCTGCACTCATGGTCAGAGTAATGGACGACAGGAGGTGGGGAGGGCGGGCGGAAGCGCTCCTCTTCCAGCCTCCTGCGATGGCGCTCCTCTCTCGCCAGCATCCGCTGCTTACATTCCCACTCGTACAGATCGTCCCGAGCCTGAGCAAAATCCACATGCAGGCGCCCAGTATCCTTCTTGTCAGTGCTGGAGCCCAGCCTGATGCGATAGCCTGGCAGTGATGACAACAGTGTTCAGACAGGACAGGTGACTTACCTTAGACTCCAACCACCCACCAGTGCCCATCTCTCATTCCTACAGAGCCAGAAAGCCCCTGAACAGAAGAGTTTACTGAAGAGTTTAGTGCACAGAGAGCGATGCCGGAGAAGGAAACATTGTTAGGGGGTTTGCTGCTATCTGCCTGTGTTTTGCACGTGCTAGGCGAGGTCTTTCATGGGCTCTTCCTCCTCTAAACACTAGCAGGTACTGGGTCTCGAGTAGCAGCTGTAATTGTACACAACCTCTCAGGCTGTGGGACCAAGCCCAGCTGTTCACATGGGGAAAGGCAGAACTGCCTCGGATCCCCGCTTTCGCAAACTTCCGAAGTTGGGGATGGGAAGGGGGAAATGAGAGGTGAGGCAGGGCAAAGAGGGCAGCAGATGGATGGCGGTAATCTTTGGAACAGCCCCCATCATCCAGTGGGAGCGGGAATAAGGTCAGCAAACGTGCACGTCCACTGCGTGGGAACTCTCACCAGCACGGTTTGCAGGACTCCTTTTCTGGAGTTTCACATCAAACACGATAGAAGGCTCTCCTCTGTGATTAAGAAAAGCACAGGTGGGATGTATGGAAGAAAATCGGAACTACAGAGAGACTTCGTATAAAGAATAAACCCAGAAACAATGCTTACGTGTGGAGGACACTGATGACTGCACATGACCATGGCTTTGGGCAGGAGGAACTATAAGCAGAGAATGCCTGAAGCTAAAAAGGCTGGTTTGGCTATGTAGAAGGGGTAACCGCAAAGAGATACTGCTCTTACTAATGGGGCATTGCAAGTTTAACTCAATTCAACAGTCTCTGGAATAAGACACAATGCTTACAATCAGTCACAACAGACTACAGAAAAGTTTCCATTATTTTAAACAGCAAAGAGCATTTCCCTCGCTTATCTTGACAATCTCATTTCCCTGGAGAGAGTACGGGCTTTGGAGGCAGTACGCTGATTTGTTAATATACTGAAAGAATTAATTTGGAAGAGATTTTAGCACAGAAATAGAAAGTATTACTGTATTTTTCTAGAGTGGTAAAGAGTCAGGTGGAGAGCCCAGGCTGCTCAGGGCAGCAGTAACCAGCACAGCAAATGCGGGCTTGGCTGGAAATGCACAATCTGCCAGCCACACAGAGTCTGCAAACACCAACCATGAAGTCTCTGTCCTCCATGAAACAAACCTCTTAAAACCCTATGGATGCAGAAGAGGGGCTCCCTAGGCGAAAAGAGCCCAGGTGTTTCAGCTCGGATGACTAACAGGCAAAAAAATATTGATGAAAGTCAAGCACACCATCTGATTAACGAGCAATTGAGAGCAACTGCAAGTTTTTATAGGACTCTTAAGCATTATTTACAGAATCAGCTGGACATTTATCCAGGTAAGATGGGGATGGACTCTGATTGTACCTCATCCCAATATTTTGTAGAGGTTTGCAGTGTCCAAGGTAACAAAGCATTGCTATCTTTCCTATCAGGAGCTGTTTTCATATATTTAAGCAGAAATGCAATAGCAGCAGAAAAAGAGGCGAACTGACACAACATTAGACCAATCTTCCAATTGCAACAAAGCCTATCATTATAACTATAAAGAAGTCATTACATCTCTGTCCCAGAATTTTAAGCTGCCATCTGAGACAGAAATACACCTACCAGAAAGATAAAGTGCCTTGTCCACCATGAACTCCTCAGCAAAGCGGATATGACAGAAATTCTTCTTACTCTTTCGAATAGCTATGACTTCCCCACACTGTTCAAACACTTCCATAATGATCTGCTCGGTTCCATTTTCCGGCAGTCCTCCAACAAACACCGTCTTACACCCTGGGGGCCTCTCTCTTGTTGCTGGAGGGGGAAGATCTGAAGAGAGCAAGAGAGAGAAAGCAGACCAGGTTAGTTTTTGGGTTGTCAGCACACATTCCTTTCATCTGCCCACCTCTCCTGAGAGACGACCATACCTTCCTAGCTTCCTTCAAACGTACACCCAGCTATGCTGCATTCAACTTTACCAAGCAGTAGATCTAGAGCACTGCTGAGGTGTTATACGAGAATAAGCACATTTGCCAGCCTGTTTCCAAACAAAAGATCTCAGGAGCCTGAAGCCCTCCGAACACTCTCCCTAGCGCAAGCAAAGGCTCGCTGAGCTCCTGTTGCAGAACATGAGCAGCACCAGGACCTCAGAACTTTATCATGGGAGGTGCTATACAAGCACAGCTTAAAGGACTCTCCTAAAGCAAAGAATACGTAGAAAACGTATACAAAGGATCCTACAGGGTAAAAAGCTATACAGCAGTCTGTAAAGAGTGGAAGAGTATTAACGTTAAGGGAAGGTCACGAACCAAATTGAGACTAAAAAGATAGTACGGAAAGAAGAGATGAAGGAAATGGGTATAGCCAAGAGGTGTAGAAGGAATTAATGTTTTTTTCCACCTGTATGGCTAAAATGAACCACAGAACGTAAAAGCAGGCTGAAAGTCAAGTGTAGTTTGCCAGCAGCAGGTTGCCGAGTATGCTCACTTACCCACTTGTAACACTGCAGCACACAAAAGAGACTGCGTGAGACTGCTGTGACTTGGAGAAGTGTTTCTCCAGCACCGAACTCATTTCCATGCTCAGGTGCCCACCTGGCAAGTGCAGTGAGACCCTCCCAACTCAGTATGTGAAGGCTGAGAAGGATTATGCCCTTGTTACCTGGTGTTTCTTAATATCTGGAAAATACTAAATGAATTTCAGCGCTGAGATCCATCGCCCCTGGTTCAGTTCACAGAATTACACTACTTACACATTTAACAAAATAGTTGTATTACATTCTTCTAATTCTTGGCACATTTCCAGCAAAGTTCTTCCAAAAGCAATTATTAGGATTATTTTCTTTTTGTTTGGAAATGGCTCCTTTTGGTTCCCACATCGAGCCTGACTACTGACTTGCTACAGCCTTACAAAACAACAGCCTTAACCTTCTTTTCTGTAAAACCCAGTTCTTCTGCACCAACGGTTCCTTTTAACGTCCTACTCTTACTTCACAAGAACAGAAGCTGCAAGAGAGCGCCCGGCCAGGAGCTCGCCCAGTCCAGTACCAGCTTGTAGCAAGGGCCTCCAGGAAGGACTCATAAGCTCTGCGAGACACTGAGGTTCCCCTCTCAGGATAACACTGACCACAACTGCTAGCTTTTCCCTGAAAACCTGAAATCCAAGTTTAATCCCCTTTCCAGTACACCTTCATAACCTTACCAAACACTCCCTCTGTCTATTTTATACCAATTTTTCTTGGAAACTTCCTAAATTACCAGCCCTGATCACATCTCAACAGCAATCTCCACAGTCTAACACTTGTATTGAACACAGTTTTGCACAGACTGTATCTCAGATCAAGAGATACATGTTAGGTCTGTCATAAGTACATGAAACACAAGGTAACAGCTGTAACAGAGGGTGCTGAACCCACACTATCTGCATTTTGCAAAAAATATGTTTTTAAGTCTTTAGCAAAATAATGGCAATAGGAGTTCTTTTAAAATTTTCTGCTAGACTGGCTCAGAGGAAGAGAAATTTCCCCCCTGGCAAATATCCCTGACAGATATTTGCCAGGAATTAACATTTCAGACTGCATCTGTTTGCAAGGCCACACTAAAGGAGGGATTAAAGCAGCAGGAGAACCAGAAGAGGGCAAAAATCCCAGGGAAACAGGACTGAGCACATCTCACGCAGCCGAGAATAGAAATGCACGAGTCTGGATGAAGTCAAGAGCCAGTTTGTTACAAGAAGGGGAGGGAAAGGTCTTCAAAGCAGATAAACCATCACTGGGAGCAATCCGCAGCACCACGAAATGCTAGCAGCCCTGATGGATGAGAAAGGGAGAGTATGGAGAGTACAAACACAGGAGAAGGGGAGCAGGAGCAGACACGCATGCAGGAGCACCCCGGTGGGAGCTCAGTCGACGCCGCGTACGCAGACCTTAGGCTGAAAAACCCCTGTGAGCATGGCTATAAGAAATCTGGGAGGAACACATGCCTCAGAAGCAGTGTCTGAGTGTTTCTGTGATGGTTACCTGTTTGCCAGCATGAAGAGATGCACTATTTTGTTACACGTTCGGAGGCTAGGAAGGGACTAATAGTGCATCTTCCTTCTAACACAGCATTTGACATTCTTGAACTGGCTCGTCAACGAGTATTTAATTAAAAAAACAAAACAAAAACCAACAACCAAAAAAAAACAACCCAAAAAACCAAACAAACAAAAAAAACCAACCCCAAAAAGAACCCCAACCCAAAACTGCTTCCAGGACAGCGAGACAGGTTTTCTTCTGGGGGTGGTAAACTAAGAGATTAATCATCAGAGTGGGCATTGCAAGCGTTTTATTTAAAATGCTGGGCTGAGGAGCACCACAGACTCCCACTGCTGGGAGCCCATCAGGCTCGGGTGCCATCTGCTGGCACCTTCTTCTGAATTATATATAGACACGCAGTTACAAACATCTACCGCAACTTCTCTGCATAATGAAAGCGTCTTATTTCCAGTGAAAAGCACTGCTTCTGAAAGAATTAAGTCCTTGTTTTTCCATTGGTAATTCCAGACTGTCCTGTGCTGACACAGACCCACAGACTTCTGCGGGGCCCCGACCCATGGCTGGGCTGTGCAGGCACTGCAGGGAGAAGATGCCCGAGACTGCTCTCATGCTCCTACCTTCCCCAGTTTGTAATTTCTGTCAATTTTATACTTCCGAATTTATCGTTAATGCTTTATGGGGTGGAACGCTTCTCACCCTCCGTGTGTCTGGCAGTAAGCACAGCTCATGGGATCTGACTTATTTTTCTTCTCTGAAGATACCAAGCCAAGCAAAGCCCTGTTTGGAGGCAGAGCTCTGGCCAGTAGCACACAGAGGTCTCAGGAACACCAAGACTGGGGGAGTGATTGCTGCCAAGTTGCATGTATTAATCTGAGACCAGCTGCCAGGCTCTGCCATATGCTGCAGAGAGCAGATGAGGGGACCATGACTCTGTGCAGCTCCTGCTGATCCCACTAAGCGTGAACCAAGACAGGAGTGCCCTGCTCCATTTGCCGGGGGACGAACAGGCCATTAAAAGCTGTCAACTCATTTCCCAAGGCTGGCAGGCAAGTAAATATCTTGTGGTGAGAAATCCAGTCTCATGACAAGCACGGTGAGGCAGATGTGTTAGTGGGTGGAGTATCTTTCCTATTTTCTTCATATAGAAAACTGACAGACTTGCCCTCTCTCCCTGTACCAGCACCTCCCTCTACTCAAGTCAGTCAGTCTAGGGGAGTGATGAGTGAAGCAAGATGAGCCCACATCACGCTGATAACACTGTACTAGAGCTACAGCCTCTGTTCCCACCAAGTCGGTTACGAAACCAGTCCCTGCAGCTTGAGGACATCAACTTTGCAGACATGAGCTTTGCCAACAGCATGTACAGGCCCCTGCAAGCCTGTAATTGCTAAATCTTGATTTTGCCAAGAATTCTGCCCTTGCTCAACCTTTGACAGCCTCCCACTGCCACTGGTGTGCTCAGAGTAGCAATACAGCATTACAGTGCCACAGCCCAACACCCTGCTCTAAGGAGAACATGTTGGGTCATGGGCCCTTGGGTTTTCCAAGTCGAACACGATTACTTACCGTACTGCAGACGGTCATGTAACAAGGAGTGAGCAAGGCCCCAGCTAGTCTGGAGATCACAGCAAAATAAACTATCCCCATGGAGTTCGTATGTTCTTCCCACTGGGGAGGCAGACTTGATCACTGCTGCAATTAATACAGTTAGGGGGTTAAGGCACACATTTGCCTAATGTGCTCTTCACAAGCACAGCCTTGTCCTGCCAGCCTCCCAGGTGGACAACACGGAACGTACCAAACCTTGCCCCACATATAACAGGATATCAAAGGTCCCTCCTAAATCTGTAAAGCACAAAGAGCCAGGGAAGCCCAGCTGGTCAGCCTTGGTAGCATTGACCAGACATGATGATGTGGACCCAACACCTAACTTGTTGCAAGCTGCATATTATCCACTCTAAGAACAGCTTGCACAGTTCGTGTTTTTCATGGTACATACAACAGAGGAAAGCATCTTAAAGCCTGCAAATAGGAAAGCAAGCTAAACAAGAGAAATGTGATTAAGGAAGCACGAAGAAGCAGAAAGAAAGTGGTCTGCTCCATTATGATGTCCTCCCTCGTGCAATAGCCCACTCTCCCCAAAGCAGCATCAGGTCTCACAGTGATATTTGTTAAAATACTGACAAGCTCCAGGCTACAGCCTGGCTGACTGATGGAATAAAAATATTGATCATTCTTAAGTGGAAGCAGATTGTCTCATGGCCACAACAGTTTGTTACTAATTACCAGACCAGGAACTAGCTTCACACCATCATTTAGCAAATCAACTTAGCTCTGTACTGCAATTGTGCACACTTCAGACTTACCTGCTTCAAGCTACACCCGCACACAGAGATCCATACTACCTATGAAAGACATGTCCATGTAGATCATCTATGTAATTTAGGTTACAACTGAGACAATTTTCTAGGTTTCTTAAAAGAAACTAAGGGCTAAGGGATGAAAACAAGTTCATTCAGAAATATGGATTTATCTTGTGTGTAGACATCTAGAATAGACAAATCATAACGAAATACTGACCTCTCTCAGCTTTAAAGGGAGTCTGGAAGATTAATCCAGATAGTAAACACGCTGAGGTGGAACACACTTCACCTAATTTTGGATACCCTGAGTGTAGGTTTCCCCACAAGCTAGTCACTCTCTGCTCCCCTTATAATCACTAGAGAGCTGGGCAGCACAACCTGGGGAGATTCATCTTCCTCAAAAGCAGACAACAATATTTCCTCAGATAAACTGCCCCAAACTCTACCAATTGCTCTCCAGTGATGCCAAAGGGGCTGCAGGCTCCAAACTGAAAGGTCCATGGTGAGGAGAGCCTAGAAAAAGAGGTAAGAGTAAGTCCATCTGGACGATCGCAAGTTCCTTCTGAATGGCCGTTCCTGGCAGTAAAATTTGTCAGGATTATCTTGACAAAGATAATGACAAAGTTGGTATGGGCAAAATCATCTCTGCCATGCAAGTACATCACCAGGGAGAAAACACAGGCAGTAAGTGTCAACACAGAATGCTTGAAGAGTCAAAGGGATGAAGAATGATTAACTAGGGACGAGAAATTGAATGGATGCTGAGGGATAAAGCTTCTTGTCCAAAGGGCCTGCACAGTTAAAATCCTTAACAGCAAAACCAGCATTAGGATTTATGCTTCCTTCTTTCTTATCTGTGGAAAATAAGGAAATATTCCTCTAATTTCCTGAGACAGAGCCACTTAGGTCTGAAATCATCTGTTACCTAGACTCTCAGAACGGGAAGATGGAGGTCAAACAGGTCTTCATGCTAACAACACACACGTACCAAAACATGACAGAACAAAACCAATGGCGCTGCAACACTCCCTCAGAGGCATACGGGACTGCGACGATGGGATAAGGCCGAGGCTTCGCCAAGCAACCAGGAGGTATTACCATGGGGGCTGGCACTGATGTCGCACCACTATTCATTTCTGCAGTTCCCACTGTGGCCAAAGGTATTAGTGCACTGAGGAGAGAGAGAGACTGAGCCCTTCCAGTCCCAGCTGCTTTCCTTGGGGGTTGCCCTTGAAAAGGTAATATTTAATACTGATTTTCTTCCCCCCCTTCAGAGAACCAAGTGATAAGAGGTTCCTAAGCAGTGTCAGCCTGGACAGCCTACCACCTCCAGGGCTCCAGCTGGAGCAGGGCAATGAGCCAGAAGGCAAAGCACTGCCCTCTAAAACAGAGAGGTCTTAGCAGCTTGCCAAGAAAAGCAACCTGTAGGCAAGAAACAATCATTTTGTGAAAGTAACCGACCAAATTTAAGATGGTTTTCACATGGCCTTTTCACAAAGGCAGGGTTGACCTCATGAGAAGTTCAGTGCTGTGCCTAGCCAGGGTTAGGGAGGTGAGAAATTCAGAAAATGCCAAGCTGTGCAAGAGGAGAAAAATGGAGAAACAACTGCACCTGCTTCAGTTAGGAACCTAAACGAGAGTACTTAAACCTGTTGAAGTAGGACATGGAACAAAATTGCTGGAAGAAAAACAGGCAAGCTCCAAATGAAGTGAGGCAAGGGTATGTGCAGGAAGGGCTGAAATTAGTGGTACAGCTTTGTGGTTCAATTGTGAGATATAGTGAAAAGAGAATACTGTGGATAAAATCAGAAATTACTTGGACCACAGAGTGCTTAAGGAGAGGATTTGGGTAACACTAGAAGTTTTTAAATATTTTTTAATATTCTAAAAAGACATCGTGCTATGAAGAACTCTGTGACTATGACATCAAATTTCCCAGATAAAAGCTGAAGAACAAATGTATTGATAGAGATATTGCAAATGACAAGCCAATACATTTCATCAGGTAGTTCTTGAGCCAATAAGAAGTGATGCTTGAAATCCATGGGGCAGTAGTTTATAAGTATTAAGGACATTAGAGAACAGCTAGTGCTAAAACAAATAATCTTGATGGAGCAATGACAAGCTGATCCACTTTAATTGAAATGAAAAGCTAAAAAAGCAATGTTCTTGCTGCGGGTTTTGTAACTGAAGAGGCCTTTATTTCATAGCAGCAACTTTAAGAAATTAAAGGAACTGGTCTGAAAAGTTCTAAGGACTTTAATGTAACCGAAGCGTCCAATAAATGAACTAGAACCTGTATGTCAAAGCAAGGAAAAGAAAAAGCCTCGCCCTGCAAGCCTAACTGGATGAGTAATCACTCCAAAACAGAAATACACATACAGAGTCTGCAACAAACAGGAAAGGAATTGATTACCGTCGAAATGTACATGTTAGAAGCAGGAAGAGTAGGGGCAAAGTAAGATTTGACCAAAAAAAGTAATCAAGATGATCTAGAATCTTTTAATGGAAGTTAATACAAGTACCAAGAAGTCCCTCAGCCAGAAAAATCCCGAAGTCCAAAAAACAAGGAACTGGAACAGACCGGATGCTAAGCAAGTAACCAATACATGTCTCTTCTAACAGCAATAGCTAAGGATATCCTCCAAAGCCAAGAAATGAGATCTCCTACTTATCTCTATCACATCTACGTTTTGTTGGCTATTTCATCCCCTTCC